TTTGTGTTGAAAAAATAGTTTCAAATGGTATCAGCTGTTGCTGACTTGACCAATACTACCCAATCAATAGAAAAACTGATTTTTCTATATTTTGTGTATATACGTATTTAAAAAGAAGATCGCGTTAGAGAGCTGAAATTCTGATCACAAACAGACCACATAGAAAACTTGCCCTGAAAAAAATGCAGCTATTTAGTCAGTTCCTGAGAAGCAGAGAATCTTCGTAAAAAGATGCGGTTTTAGTCAAAATCAGGATTTTGGGAGGATGCGATCTAGATCAAAATCCAGTCTGCAGAGTTTCAGTCAGTCTGGTTTCTAAGTTGCACACTTATAAGGAAGATGTTTGTATTTTCAGTGAAAAAGATAGCACATATTCATTTCAAATGAAGGCTCTCACTGCCAAAGTAGCAAGCTTAAAATATTAGTATCTGTTGGCTTGTCTAAAGGGAAATATTCAATTTTTACAGTACTCACAGTTTGGGTATATAGGAGAACATTAGTATTATCTACATTAGTTTTTTATGCAATCAACTGACTATTTCAATAGTAGACTACAAGAATCTTTCTGAAATTTATCGATAGCATTAAGATCGCATTAGTTTCGATGCCTTCTGGCACTTACGTAGTATCAATTTAGATAAAGAGGAGCTAGCAGTTATTAGAACCTTTAACTCACCAATAGTTTCGATTTTATTTCAACTGAAAACAATAGATTATATAATATACTATTTTAACAGATGTGCTACAAGTGTAGATGTAGATCTTCAATCAGATGATAGTAACGAAAAGCTTTTTCTACATCAAGCACACATTTATAGTGGTCGTTCATTGCAATTGTTAATTGAACAGTACAGATCATACAATTTGAAGCAAACATCTTTTGGTTTTTCAATCTGTGCAATTGTTTCATTTGCTATTTGAGCTTGTATAAATCCATTCTTAATGAGGTTTTTGATTTGTAGAGCTGATAATTGATTGTGAAAAACAAAATGCATGTTAATGAAATATTGACGATCACTTATAATCATTTCTGTTCGATTGATATGAGTATAATGTTCGATGTTCTTTTCAAAATATCACCATGAGCGAAGTAACCAGTTGATCCTTCAGAAGAAATCAATAACTGACTGTCTTGATTTGGAAAAACATTTCTGAATTTGTTTAGGTCAGTTTGACTTCTCTAAGAAGCAAAGAAAAGAAGACATTTTCTATTGGCTAAGTGACGTAGAAAATCATTTAAAAAAGTATAATGTGTTATGGTGCTGCTTTTTCCAGATTTTGACGATTGCAATATAACATTCAGTGGAATGATCATATTTTTTTGCACTCTTCTACCAAATTCATGTTTTTTTTTCTTGGTCAGATAAAATTAGTGAGACATTAATTCTTTAATTTGTTTTAATTTTTCTAATCGTGTGTCGTCGTTTTCAATATATTCTCTAAATCTTGTAATATAAGTCATGGATTTGATCTTTTTAAATTGACTGGTACTAGTTGCAAATCTGGCTTTAGGATGCTGGTCAACTCATTGGACTATATTTTTCATTTCGTCTATTGTAAAACGATTTTGCATATCAGAATGTTCATTCTCATTGTAATCTTCAATGTCACCATCGCTTTCTTCTGCATCATTCATTTCATCATATTCATCTTCAAACTCGAGAGTATCGTAAGTATACAACTCATGGAAGTAGCTGTCTTTAAATGACTTTAGAACTTCGAATAATTGTTCTGTAGCAAAACTTTTATCGGTAGTTGTTGCAGAATTTCCAGGTCTTTATTCAGTTTGAGTCAAATAGAGAAGATGTTTAGCCATGTGCAATAAATTCATGTTTTAATTTGATGAAATAAGCATTTTTTATCGGTAGATACAGCAGAGAACGAAAGAGAATAATTGTTCGATAGTATATATCTATGTGATTTCTTAAGACAAATCGCAAAGAAATAGTCAACACAAACTATTCACATACTGAAATTTTCTTTTTTGTTATTAAAAACCCTTCATTTTACACTAACATTAACGTTGTTATAATTTGTAAAAAAAACAGCTGCAGACCACCAAATGACGCATCAATACACTTTAAGTTCAAATATTATACGTATAAGTCATTTTTCATTTCGACAATGCCTAAGTTGCAGAAGGCATCGAAACTAATGTGATCTTAATGCTATTGATAAATTTCAGAAAGATTCTTGTAGCCTACTATTGAAATAGTCAGTTGATTGCATAAAAAACTAATGTAGATAATACTAATGTTCTCCTATATACCCAAACCGTGAGAACTGTAAAAATCGAACATCTTCCTTTTAGCAGGCCAACAGATGCTAATAGTTCAACCTTGTTCGTTTGGCGGTGAGAGCTTTCATTTGGTTCGAATATGTGCTATCTTTTTAACTGACAACACAAACACGTGCATTGTAAGTGACACATCTAGCCCTATCAATAGTTTTTTCACCATAATATTTACTGCCACGCAGATATTTCGAGTAACTTCACANAATTAAATAATTTTCGTTAAAAATCAAAATATTCAATAAAATGCGTTAAAATATCTAACGCTTCGAAGAACAACGAGATATTCTCCATTTGGAGTCGATTCACGCGTGAAAATTCGTTTTAAAGTTTATGTGTTTTTAAACAACCGCCCTGGATTTGACGAAGAGTAATGATATTTTTCTCGTGAAATTGTTAAAATGTTAGTTAATGCAAAGTTTGGTATTAATTTTATCGAAAATGCAGTCACATATCCTTCGATTTTTACGTGGGAAATCGTGCATCTGGCGATACCAAAACAAACGGCGTTAAATGTTCTGTCATTGCTACGTAGAAAGTCATGCACCTGCTAATACTAAAACTAAGAATGTAATCGTCACTTTTCTTTCTCAGTAGCTTTACTAATCTAAGTCCTGTAATCGATAAATTATAAAGACGAAGTGAATTATATAAATATACTTTGAATTACCAAATATTTTTGTGGATAAATAGAGAGAGAAAGATATTAATGGAAAACAATCTTATAGGTAAGTGTGAATATCTTGATGATAAGTCTTTAATTTTGATTGTCAGTATCTTAAATTTTATGAGCATGAGTATAAATTTCAGTGTCGTTATAATGATTTCGAAAACGTATTATTCATATAATTGTAGCTGTGGTATATTTATTTGCTTTTACGACAATATGTTGCATAGTGAATGCAGCAACTGTTAACAATTTGTGTTCACTACCACCACAATTGCAAGCTAGGTATGATTTTGATTGGAGATCAAGATCAAATGAATGGAGTAATACAAATGCTAAACCTGCTTTTCTTCAGCTTGTACTCTCCTGGTAAATTTTCTAAAATAATTTATGTTTTCTTCTACATAGAAAAATATAGGACACCGACATATTGTGCATCACTCTCACAAGCAGTTCGAGATACAGAATTTCAATGTCGTGCTAGTAATAATTTTGGTTTTATTGTTCATGGCCTATGGCCTCAAACGTCGAAGGCATCATCAGTACGAGATCATCCACGTAATTGTCGAAATGAAAAACAATTAAATGCAACGTTTGTTAGACGGTTTTATTGTATGATGCCCGATGAATATCTCATGCAATCTCAATGGGAAAAACATGGTTAGTTTAATTCTAAAAAAAATCAAATTTGTTCTTTTTAAATAATATAGATTTTTATAGGTACTTGTCATTTTACAACAGCGACTGATTATTTTATAGCTACTGAAAATTTGTATAAGTCATTAAACGTTCCTGATATTCGATCAATGCGAAATCCAACAGCAACAACTATTAAAAATTCATTTCTGACACTTAATCCAAAATTATTTTCATCAGCTATACAAGTATCAATGGATTCATCAAATCGTTTAAAAGAAGTTAAAATATGTTACAATCTTAACAAACAAGTTGTTAGCTGTTTTTCTTAGGAAAACAAAATTCATGATTTGAAATAAAACGAAAATAAAATTAAACTAAACACATGAAAAAAAGAAATATGAACAATATCTTATTATAAAAATGTCTTTCATTCTTTAATGAATCAGCTTTTAACAAAGTTAACTATTTCGTAATTGAATTCATATTTGATATCATAAACATTAGTTATCCAAGCTTTTCTATGACCTTTCTTCGTGTATAATTGATCTTGTTTGTTCTATTTTACCATTTGGTGTGTAATGTTTTGAAAAATTTTACATTTCCCAATTTTTCCTATAAATACCATAGGCGAGCACAGGACAACTTTTCTGACTCATCCTGGCGGGTGACAGGACAGTAAGAATTTTTTGGACTTTCGGTCACCAAAATAGATATTGGTTTATTGGTTATCTTATAGCCAATTTACTTCGTGTCATTTTCAAAATGCAACAACTAAAGTTTGCAATAATGATTCATATTATAAATACAAGAACATACAACATCTTGATTTATTATTTTAATAACACATTCATTACAGCAAACGAATATTAAAAAAATATGAAATTGTGAAGTTGTGTCAATCAGTATCTTGACATATAGCAGATAGTATTAATACAAAATAAAAGAAAATCTACAAAACAGAGCTGGACATAGGACACAAGATGAATTATAATCACTTAAGTTATTTTACTTTCATATTCTCATATCGATTTCAACAGAACATTATATTACGATGGGAAAAGTTGCACACTTCAAAATTCATAAGACTCTGCGTTATATGTTTTCAACAAAACTGATAGATGTAACACATTTTTATTACAGGAAAAAATAACTGTAGTTTTAACAGGCATGGGGCAAAGAAAAAAAGTGAGGGAGTGTCAGAAAATTTTTTAAATTTTGAAAAGATGCATATATCATTTTTTGAAAAGTGGAGAGGTGTTGAATCTTTTCCTTCATTTTAAGATCTTTCTTTTAACAAAAAACTATGATTTCGACTGGAAAAAAACGAAAATTTTCTAACAGTAAGGGGGTTCGCACTCCCACACACCTCACAGTCGCCACATCCCTGAGTTTTAATAAGTTTTATTGATGTGTACAGCAATTGGTGGCTACTTTCTCATTGTTATTATCATTGGCCGCAATGGCTGACCAATAATCCAAGGTGGATCTTTCATTCGTCATTAAGAAGCGATAGTTATTTGTATTAAGAACTTCTTCATTGATAAGATGATGTTGTACAAGTAAACCGACAGTTGTCAAAGCTAACTTTTCTTCTACAGCTGGCCCTCGATTTTGCCAATATTCACCAAAAACACCGTGTGAATCAGCAGGATTTAGTTCAGAAACAATGAAACCACGACGAGCGATAGCTACAGTTAATCGATGCATATCTTGATCAGCAATGAGTACAGGTATAGGACCATTGTATGCTGATTTGTCAAATTCATTTACAAAAGCATCAAACGTATCAGGAACACGATGTTTCGATCTACTTTTGTTGAATTTTGGTAAAGCTAATATGACAGCACGAATATTTTTGAATAATGAACCATCACGTTGGAGTACTGTTAGAATTGCTTCTGCTGATAGTGCTCGTACTTTTGCATCGATTCCGATATGATTACCAGCAAATACACCAAGTCCAATACCTGTTTCAACAACAATCTGAACACCTTCCTGATCGCATGCATATAATCGTAGTCTAACCATACGCATCAAACTGTCTCGAACATGTTCTTTATGAAGTTTGCCTGGTGGTCCATCGACTTTTGCATGAAAATCTCTACCATTATAAACTAAGGGCAAATTTGATCGTGGATCAATTTGAAAAACTTCTCTCCAATTCGATACATAGTAAAGAATGTCACCTATATCATGTTTTCGACCAGCAAAATCAATACCTGTCACTGAAACAAGTTTAATACGGTTAGGCCAAGATTCATTTAAGTTACGACGTATGATTTTAGCATCAAATTCCATCAAGATTGGACATGTTGAAATTCGTACGACAAATTTCATACGAAAGGCTTCTTCACCATTTTCACTCTTTCCTTGTAGAGCACGTGTAAGAAATTCTTTATTCATGCCTTGAATACTTCTGTCGGCATAAACTCTATATGAACGTTGCCAATTTATGATTTCTTGTACAGACATTGCAAATGAATTCGTGGTATAATAGGGAAAGTGTATCTCTGTATGTGGATTCAAATAATGGGGAGGTTTGCCCAATTTAAATGATCGTACACCTTGAACAATATCTTGGCCTGAAATATTTTTGAAACCAAATGTTTCAGAAAGAAATCGTTCCATTTGATCAGTTTCAGGGCCGCATCGACCACTCATTGGTCCATTCTTATCCATAGGATCTAGATTCATGAGATCCCTGAACAGATCGTTTAATCGTTGATCAGTAATATGATCAAGACCGAATGAGACAATATCATAAGATGGCAATTTTGTTTGGTTAGCCATTCAAACAATTAGTTGTATGCACAGAAAACGAGACGACGCATACAGTAAACAAACGATTACGTAGAACTATTCATGCTGTGTATTTGATTTGTTTTATATGCCGTTTTGCTCAGTCAAAGAAAAATAATAACAACAAAATACGTTTCTTCCGACAATGATGCATATGACATGAGTTTCTTTTTTCATCATAACATTGTTTATTGCAATGAGTCATTCTCGAAAACATGAGAAAAGTATGTTATAATTGGTTCGTACGTAAACCAATGTTTTAGTATACTATTCTTGTGTATGCAAGAAAACTACTCAATAAGCACAAATAAAAATTAAAATCTTTGAAGAAAAAGAATTTTATCTTGTCTCGCTCTCTTGTTAAAATTTATGCGTAGATATTTGATAATTTCATATAATGCTTTTCATCGGAAAAGTATATAAACAAAGTTACTGATTGTTGATAAGTACTACTTTAACTAGAAAAATTAGAATAACCGACAAATCTAAGATGAAGTTTTATTTGAGGATTAAAAAAATGCGTTTGATCGTTTTTGTTTACAATAAAACTTACATCTTTTATTTTTTACTAAAAACGTTTGATTGTAAAATATTTTCCAACCTAACATTGAATCATTATACTGTTATCAATTAAAATTTCTTTAACCAATCTAATCAAAACGAGTAAACTTTTTTTAATCGTATATTTCTATTATCCACAGATTTCTAAGCATTCTTTCTCTAGAAATGTTTTTTTTTTACTCATTCTCGTCATTTACGGATAAATTTTATCATAATATGTAAGACGTATACATTGTGAAAGCAATTTGAGCCGGTACGCGATGTCATTTGGAAAGATATGAAATAATATATATATATATTTACATATATCAGAAATCAAACTGGCTGTTTTTTTAGATGAATATTGCAATAATAAGTGAATAGTAATAGATGAAAGTCTTTTCAAAAGGCAACTAGTTATCGATCTCAATGCCGAATATTAAGATCACGTACTTATTGACTAAAAAAGTGTATGTGCGGAGCCAATAGTGAAGACAAAGAGAAAGGTATTTTCATTAAGGAATAAAAATAGTTGTTCTTAAAGAATCTATTAAATAGATTCGAATGTTAAACAAAGAATTTAACTTCATTTACACTAATATCACGTAATTTCGATCGAAGAGATTCGACTTAGAAAAAACAACATTAGTCAAAGAGTATTCAAGATAAGTCAAGTCATCCTGACTAAAACTTGTAAATAGTCTTAAACAGAAAACATAACTTCAGAGACTCATCTCTTACTAAAAATACATGACTTCACTATAAGATTCTCAAATTATTATTTTTATTCGTTACGTTAAATTCTACTGATGATAGCGACGGTGCCAAGAATGAACTCAGTCTACCCAGAACTTTATTGACTCCGCTCTAGAAAGCTTTTAATATTGATATTTCTAAGATACTGTTCTGATCAAACAAACGAGATTATAAACGCAATGATCGTTCTCGGAACAATGCTGATATCACAATTTACTAATAGGAGAAGTATTATTAACATGAAGTTGAATAAACTATTAATTTGACATTTCTATTAATCAAATGTGTGTTTGAAGCAAACTATTTGAGATAGGATCATCACTTTACCTTATGTGTTACTTTTATTTTCTTTCATAATAAGAACAGTAGTAACTAATACTTCAGATTGTTGAACAATAGATTTCGCCAAAGAAATTATAATTCTTTTAATTACAGGTTTCATAAATGAATTTAGAATAAGTATGTATAAGTTCTTATATAAAAATGCTTATCTTTTATATTTTTTGTATTTTAGAGAAATTGATTTTGTTAGAAATGTACCGAAATAAGCAAGATTAAAGTAGAAATTCGACGTTTTGTTTCAGTAGAGCTAAATATTGACTATTTTCCGTGGGTGAGTAATTGAAAATTCTGTACCTTCTAATTAATTATAATACAAAATGGTCAGACTTCGTAACACTGTGAAAACGAAATTTTGCATATTTCTAGAATATATTTGATTTTAACATCCAATTGTTTCAGTCATAAACTGTTTTCGCATCATACTTGGCAATATTCTTAAATCATTTTGTCGGCAATTAAGTTTCATTAATATTTTCTAAAAGGTGAAAGATGATATCATTTAATAGACCTAAGAAATAGAAATTGTTGATTCGGCTATGCTTTCACAGCTATTATTTTCGATAAATAGGAATTCCACGTTTTCTAGGCTGTTATAATGAGAAACTTTGTTCATTCGAAACTTGAAAAAAGTCGCAGTTAGCTTCTTTAAATAACCGCGTTACGTCATATTTCTGACGATAGCCAACGACCATTTTAGCTTACTTTTTCGAGAACAGAAGTTTTTTTTGCCTCCTACCAGTCATAAAACTTTTGAACAAACCCAACACGCCCTGGAAGAAAATTAAGATGTCGTCTCTAATTAATGAATGAATACCTTGCATTAAATCTTGTAAGTGTGAAACAGGAGAATCTAATTAACATAGAATAATAATAATAATTATCTCTTCTTACATCATTTTTCTGTTTAAATAGAATCAGTCAAGTAAATAGAACGTAATTATAATTATCATAGAAAACTAATAAACACATTCTTGAAAATAATATTTATATTGATTTGCATTTCTAATCTGTTTCAAATCTGTATAAGATACAACATGATAAATGAGTTGAAAATAATCAAGTAATAATAAATAATTTAAAAAATATTTCATTTAATTCTAATTGATAAATTAAAGCATTTATTATAAGCATGACAATTTTTAAGTTTGTTCAATCTTAACACCGCTAGCTTCTCTGTCCATAAAGGAATTTGAACAATGGACAAAATCGAGCATTACTGTAGGTTCGTGATGCGTTCACCAGTCTTATCGATGATGCTTGAAAGTGATTTCTTCATTTAAACGGCCAAGACTACGAAAATTACAATTTATCATTGATTATTGACAGTTTTCATTAATTATTGTATAACAAATTATTTCATTAATAAATTAACGTAAGCTTACAAAAGTATGTTAATTATATGAATCTACATTTTAATTTAAAACTCATGAATTTGAATGTTGATCTATTTAAATTGCTGTGTCAATATGATATGCACTAGTGACGTACAAGGTTGTACTACCTCGGAGGACAAAGTTACAATAAGAAAATTATTCTTAGACAGGGAATAGGATACGAAAAAAGCTTATCTTGTATATCTCTAATATGTACGAACAATATATTTTAATAATGCTAATGTTTTTACTTAAAGAAAGACCTTTTTTTTCATTACCATTTTGCACAGATTAGAATAAAATTAAATATTGAACAAGAAAAAGTAATGAATAAATGAACCGTTGATTTCAAAAACTCAAGATCGATCTATTAAATTAAATTCAATAAGACACTTTCGGTATTCAAACGAAAGAACAGAATAATTGAAAAATGTTAGTAATAATTACCAAATTTACCGTAAGAATATATGTGTTGGCTCAATAAAGGCTTGACTTTGAAAGTTCTCACAATTGATTTATGAATAATTTTTTGAAACAAATCAATAAGAAAAACTTGGGTTTGCATGTGATATAGGCAAATCAATTGACTTGATATCAGATACTTCTGCGAGTAACAAAAAAAAACAATGCTTTTGAATGTAACTTGTTATAAAAAAAAAGAAAAACGGAGTCATGCTGATCCAGAGCCAGTAAATCAAATCTTTTTGTTTTGTTTTTGAGAGAATTATTACTTTAGAAGGCATTCAGATTATTTGACAGCAAAGTGAAATAAATAGACTGAAGAACGAATACAAACTGCATAACTGTTTTACAAGGGTAGAAAATAAATATGTGGATCCTATCTGTCTTGTCTTGTGCCAAATGACAGTGTGATAAGGAACGCAGGACAGACAACTCACTACTTTCTGCTAAAGGTTTCGGTCTTTGATACGTGGTTTTTGAAAAATTAAAAAAAGATTCTACCTTTAAATAAGGTAACGATAAAATAATGAAAGAAAGAATATAGTCAAAATTTATGAAGAAAAATGCTTTCTTGTTTGAAATGAAAGAATTGTTGATTAGATCAATTGACATATTGAAAATTTGTTGTTTTTAAATGATTATTTTATAAAGGTTGATCGCATTAGTTTTTTTAATTGCTTTTTATTAGTCGATCAAAACATATAGAACTCTAGCGTATATGATCTTTTTTTTTAAACCGCTTTTGTCTTTAGTTTTTATTATTATTTTCTATTCATTGTACTTGATCGGTTTTCACCTTTGTGTTTTTCTATACTCTATTCTATTATTTTTGTTTTTGACTTTTTGACAATCCCTTTGGTTGTTAAAAGTTATTCGAACATAAATTTTCACTTCTGCAATGTGCCATTTTATATATAAACGTTCATTCCTTGCATATTAATACGAAATGTTGGAAGGGATTATCATTTATTTATCCTTAATGAAGTTGTCCGAAAATTCTCTTTTGATATTATAATTCATAAGTAATAAACAACTTACCAAATTTTCTATCGGTAAATTATTATTGTTCATGTGATAATGGCTACGAAAATGTTATAGACACTGAAATCGTAATCCAATTGCCAAATATTTTGATTCGATTCTATTCGCTTCAGTCGAGTTAAATTGTATCAAATATAATTCTCACAATTCGATTCATTGGGCAGAAGGATGTCATGGTCCATCTGTGAATGCTAATGGTTTTAAAGAAAAGTAAAAAGAATGTAATTTCTCGATTTTTTTTTGGATGATATAAAACATTGTATCATTTTGTTTGTTACAAATATCTATCTCCCATTTGAAGGTTGTGACAAAAATCACATCTATTTTCTCTATTCATCACATATGAATAATAAGAAGAAAAAGAAAATACTCAATTCACGTTGACATCTTTCATACAAAATAATTTGATCTGTTTTGGAAGTTAGAATCTACCGGCCGATTTCAGTTTTCTATTAGTCTGTTGAATCAGTACCATTGTTTAAATTTCTATTAAACGCAATTTGTCTCGAGAAAATCAATCTTGTAATGTGCAGTTTAAGCATGGTAATTGGGCCAGGTATATAATCAGTAATGAAAACTGCTTCTGATATTGTGAAGATAGTTTATTGCGCTTGTTATGTGATGCGCGAAAAAATTATGATTGTTCAACGGATTCTATAGGCGGAGCTCGAGATTGACCGAACTCCATTTGTCTATTGAAAAACAAAATGGACTTTGATGTTCTTTAAAAAGCTTGAACATGACTACTATTGGTACATAAACTAAAGTGCTATCAATGTATCTGTATGGAACAAGTCGAAGGTATTCGGTTTGAATATAGTTAACTCGTGATATCCATTGCCACCTATTAGAACTCCAATTGCTTTTTTTTTATGATTGTTCAGATTATTTCAGCATATGCAAGTGAATCTCACACCCAATGCACTTTCTTCCAAATAATTCATACCAGCAATGTTACGATGGACCTGTGAATTCTGAAATGGATATGCATATCACTTATAACCTTGTTGATCAAGTATAAGCTTTGATCAGCGAATAAAAATATGATTTTCAAGCGATATTTTTCTTCGTTCTCTATTCTTATGACATCAATGAAACTTCAGCTTCGTGGCCATTCTCAAATAGAACTAAAACAAAAAGTCAATACCAAGTAGAGTTTATTTTGAGAAAAACACTAATTCAATGATTGTTTCATCATCAGACGAGCATCATGATTGTTCTCGCGTCATTTAAAACAACCAGCGTCGCATTTTCAGTAAGATCGTTGAAGAAGATAACTTATCGACAACATTTCATTGTATGACTGATCACAAATGATAGACGAACAACGAAGAATTCAATCCACTTGAGATAAGATAATGTATTTGCAGTTGATTTTTCATAGAGAAAATATTGCGATTGACGCATATTCATCTTTCCAATCTGTCTTATCCGTAAACTGTTTGTCTTTGCGTACTTGTGAAAGTTTTTTTTACAGACCGCAACGTCACTGCAGTGGAATCTTTTCATTGTGAGTCAAAGGCACGTAGCTGTAATGGAATTGCTAACAGTGTTGCGTAAGTACCAAGTATCTTGGATGAAATATTTCTAATTCGTATCGTCATGTCGTAGCAGAATGACTCCTTCATGAAGCCGCAATTTATATTCAAGGCAATATCGCCATTTCTGCTACTATCATTCTCTTGAAACATTTGAGCAAAGGAGAGAACTGTTCTTTGTAGACTCACACGATCTCACGTCGACCAACCTACTGATGAAAATAACCTTCGATCTCATTGTAAAATATGCGCCATCAATGGTAGCCGAAAGCCGTCTGCTTTCATTCACAAGCAAGATACTTATTTGATAGAAGTTCCACTTCGATAAGATCTTTCTTCAGAGGGAAAAAGAAAAAATAACTCATTCTTGATGACGGGGTGTTTTTTGTTGACTTCCTCTCAGAGATAAGTTCATTGCAATATGAAGAAATATTAGCTTATAATCGAAGCCTAGAATAATCAAGATCGTACCCAAACATTTCCTATGGGATAAAGTGTCACGAGAATGACTCGCAAGATATTGGGCAACATCAGCTACAATTGCCAGGATTGTTTTGCGCTGTATGACTTGGTAATGCCAGACGAAAATTTCACCCTTAACTAGGAGTAATTACAGTTGTAATAATGATTTTCTCGGAATCCATAGCTCTGTGTTGAGTTTTTGACGATGTACGTCTGTCGAATTAAGCGAATGAGAAATTCAAGTTGACAGTCATGGACAGCATTGATAATGACAGTAAAGACATTTTGATCTATTTTAACCGGTGAGGGTTGCCGATCACTTACCAGTTGTAAGTCAGAGAAAAGTCTTATCTTATCGCGTAATTATCATCAACTTTATTGTTGCAAGCAACGGATATATATATATATATAAAGGAGTTCAGAAATAAAATGAATTTATTAGAAAATAGTACAGAGTCAAGCATTCACTAAGGAGTACTAGAGAGAGCGTATAAGATCCATACAGAAAGATGGAGGAAGAAAAATAATGTACGTGAACATGTTAGAAAGAAGAACATAAATGCATTCACGCATGATAGCAGAACGAAATAATATATAGATGAAAAACATATGTGATGACGTCGCAACAATGATAGGAAGAAAAAAGAGATGATGTACAAGAGATGACACCACTTAACAAACCAGACTCTTCACTATTATAGAGAGAAATTGAGAACAAGTAGTGTTATAAACAAATATTGGAAGTCAAAAAGCAAGCTTATAGGTGAACTATATCAGTATGACAAGCTTGATAACTTATCTGATATTATTTGCCTTGTTCAACAACTAATATGCTGTAATATATGAGATTATATGTCAATTCATTTTGATTCCTATTAAGTTAATTCTGTCTCTAACAGCGTTTTGAGGAAAGAATCAATCATCGGTGTTTCAAAACAAACATTATGGTGACGTGAAAAAAAATCTTCTTCCGTTCTTTTTCTACCTTTTTACCATTTTTCTCTGTTCTTTTCTTCCTATCTGTCATGTTTTGCATACACAAATCACCATTCTTATTTTCTACTCTTTGATGTCTTAAGAAAATATTTTTGAATTTGCTTTTTCGCAATACGTTACATTATTTTGTGTTCCACGTGTTGAATCCTAGGGCGAAAAAGTAGGTTGAAGAGTAATCAGGAGGAAAAAAGGTGCAAATTTGTTTCTAGATTACCCGATGGCATTAGATGGACAACAAAAACCTTGTGGGGAATGTAAAAATGGAGTAGTCATGTGTGTTGGATGTGAAAAACGCTTTTGTTGGTCTCATATAAAAGAACATCGACAAAAACTTGATAAACAAATGGACGATGTTGTACAAGAGCATAATCAGCTACGGGAAGTTTTCAATCCGCAAGGCACTGCACCTCATCATCTGTCTGAAATTGATAAATGGGAACAAAAATCGATTAACATTATTAAAGATTGGGCCAACCAAGTTCGAGCAGACCTACAGGCATTTCTGGATCGTACGAAGCATCGATTGTCAGATTCATTTGACAACATGACAAAGAAGTTGAAATCAAGCCAATCATTAAGTGATTACACCGAAAAAGAACTTGACGAATGGATGAGGCAATTGGAACAACTACGACAGATGTTTGAGAAGCCACTGAACATTGATATTGTAGAGGATGCTGCAACAAGTTCATCGATTCGTATGATCAAAGTGATCGAGAAAACCAATAATCAAGTACGTCCCATAGATAATGCAATAACAGCAGACACAAGATTGTCATCAATAATTGTCTCGACAGGTGAGTAAAATTTTTACTTGATTTTCAATGTCTCCTTGAAATATATATTGTAAAATCCGAAGCAGTTTCGATGAAACATTAGGGAGAAAAAAATGTGGGACAGTACCTGGCCGCAATCTTTAAATGGTGACACGACAGTTCCGGGTGCGACATATTCGCGTTCGACAGTACTGAGCGATACTTCCGTGTAAAATGAAGTTTTTTATTTTTGCTTTGTTAAAGGTGTAGGTGTGGGGGTTGGAAGAAGCATAATTTGGAAAAACTTCGGAACTGATGAACTATTCGTGAAAGTAATTTGATCTGATCTGTTCAAACAGTTTAGCTCAGATAGACACCCGATTCAGGAAATCACCTGATGGATTTCACCTTTTTGGACAGATAATTATTTTTATGAAAACCTAAGATGTCAACACCGACATTTGGGATACAAGAAGGATCACCTGGATTGCTGAACGCATCCTTCGAATTGCTAGATGTATTATTTAGGATGCCGGCGACATCGCCTGGATCACTAGAGACATAACCTGAGACGACGCATGTATTAGCTGTGTTGTTACCAGCATTGCATGTGATACTCATAGCATCTCATACAATGCTAATAACATTACAAGCGTTGGTGCTAGCATTCTAGTTTTCCAAAAAAAAACGATCTTTCAGAATAGGTCAGATCCATTATGTAATTTCCTGAATCAGGTGTCAGTATGAGCTGAGCTGCTTGAACAGTTCTTCAGTTCATTTGATCTTACATCGTTAGCTGGTACTGTTCTTGGATTAGTGCGGCGTGTAGGGGTAGAGCGTGATTGTGTAGTGTCGATGTGCGCTTTGGTATGAGTATGGGTTCTGATGTGAGTATGGGCTTCAAGTGTGATTTCTGGTATGAATTTGAGTGTTGGAATGTGGTTGTGGTCAGTAGAGTTCACGTTCCGTTGATTCCATTCCAACATTCACACCAAAACATTGCAGCTACACCAACAAAGCAGTTAATGAAATTCTAGATGTATTAAAGTAACACAGAAAAAAACAAAAAGCTTCATTTTACGTCGCACTGTTGGTGAACCTCACTTGATATTGTCTATATGCAGTTCAGAATTGGATATGACTTACTGTCGCTTAGTATCATTACAAGGAGCGTTGTGACTACCTATTAGTACGAAAACCAACCGTTTTTACTTCAGAATAGAAAAATATCATGAGATTTCTATTTATGCATTTATGTAAGGAGGACTTCGATCAAGCTGAGAACATGAAACTTGGCTCGTGTTAGCAGCTCACCTGATTGATATCAACCATATTCTCTTACAAATGGGAAATCATCGGAACTGCCGATGCAAAATAATTTGCTGAATCAATATAAGTAGAAAAGAACTCGTTGAACTTAGTTTCTCCTTCATAGTTCTCCAGAAATAATAGAAGATGTGAGGTCCGAATGTGTTTTCGCTTCAAGGCGTAGCTGTGGATGTGTGTTAAACAAAGCTCAACAATCGCACTCATGCCCTGATCAAAGTAAAAGCTCATAGTTGCCAACTAGATCCAAGCTGAATAAGTTCTTTCATATGAGCAATGTACACTCTCTTTACTTGTCTGTTTAGACCAAACCGAGAAGAACACTCCGCAGTCATCAAAACAAAAACACTTCGTCTGCCATTTTAGTAATTGTTGTCTTTCAACATCTTTGTCATTCATGTCGGCTACGTAATAGATGATAATTGCATTCTAAATATGCGTAATATTTGAGCCCACTTATTGCAACAATAGAACACATTTCTCTATGATGACATAGAGTTCAATTATAGATTCTAGTATATGAAACATACAGAACGCTGATTACTGAAAAGGCATTTAGATGCGATGAACTCTATTCAGGTACTACACCATCTTTACAAAATAATTAAATCAACTTTTCGATGTGAAAAATCTGAAAAACTTATGAATAACCACGCTTAATCATTATGATATTCATTTTTGACGTGATGGCCGATGATGTTACCAACAATCAATCTTGAACTCCAAATGAGTACGATAGTTGAATAGGATGCTACTGAGAATAATTCATTGATAATATACTGGTTGACGATGTCACTAATAGTCAAGCTTTGCTTTGAAGCAAAACCATGTTGAACAGAGTGTTGATGAGAATAATTCATTGATGATGTGATGATCGGTGATGTCATTAATAGCCAATCTCGGCTTCGAAGTGAGCGCCATAGTCAAATAGAGTGCTCTTGTGAATGGTTTATTTTTGATGCGCAATGGTGAATGATGTCACCAATAGTAGAGCTGGACTTCAATGTGAACATCATAGTTGAATAGAATGCTGTTGAGAATAATTCATTTGTGATGTGACGATCAACAATATCACCAACAGTCAAGTTTGGCTTCGAAGTGAGCACCATAGCTGACCAGAGTGCTGGTGAGAATGATTCATTTATGATATAATGATCGATTGATGTCACAAACGTCCAAGCTTGACTTCGAAGTGAGCAGTATCAGTGAACAAGCATATTGTGAGTATGGTTCATTTATAATCTGATGGTTGATGGTGTCACCAACCATTAAGCTTGACCTCAAAGTGAACAGCAGAGTTGCACAGAATGATAAATATGAATATAATTAATGTACGATGTAATCGTTAATAATATCACTAATAGTCAAGTTTGAGTTCCGAGTGAGTATTGCATTTGAACAGCATACTGTTCAGAATGATGCATTTGTAAAGTGATGGTCGATGGTGTCATCAACAACCAAGCTTGGCTTCAGAGTGAGCGTCATAGTAGAATACAGTGCTCGTGAAAATAATTCATATGCAATGTGATGGTCAATGATACCATCAACAACCAAGCTTGAGTTTCAGGTAAGTGCCGTAATTGAGCAGAGTGCTAGTCAGAACGATTCATTTGTGATGTAATGGCCGACGGCATCGAAAATATTCTAGCTTGGCTTCAAAGTAAGCATCATAGTGGAACAAAGCGCTCTTGAAAATGATTCATTTGTGATGGAATGATCGATGGTGTCAATAACAGCCAAGTTTGTCTTCGAAGTAAGCACTAGAGTTGAATACAGTGCTACTGAGAATGACTCATTTGTGATGCGGTGGTTGATGATATCACCAACATTCAAGCTTAACTTCAAACTAAACACCATAGTTGCACGGAGTGCTCTTGAGAATGATTTATTTGCCATATGCTGGTCGATGATGTCACGAACAAGCAAGTTTGGGTTCGAAGTGATTGTCATAGTTAAATAGAAATCTGGTGAAAATGATTTATTTGTGATTTAAGGATCGATGATGTCACGAACACCCAGGACTGACTTCTACTTTAGCATCATAGTTGAATGGAATGTTCTTGGCAATGCTTCATTTATGATGGAATGGTCTATGATACTACTAATAAACAAGCTTGACTTCGAAGTAAACACCATATTTGAACAAAGTGCTCTTGAGATTGCTTCATTTGTAATTTAATGGTCAATGGTATCACTAACAACCAGAATTGACTTCAAAGTAAGCTTTATAGTTGAACAGAGTGCTAGTCA